TTTTTTTTTTTTTAATTCTATATGAGTTTCGTTTGCAGCTGTAATTTGAAATGGCAGCGAGGATACCTGGTTTGATTGCTCTTTTTGATGTTGATGGTACTCTAACTGCTCCTAGAAAGGTCTGTAATCCCTTTTCCAATTCTATATTGTTTTTTGTTTGAATAATTTTTTAGAAATTTGGAAATCCTGTTCTAGGTTGAGTTTGATTTCTCTTTATTTGCATAAGCTAACTTTAGGGGATTTGATGGTTGATTCGAGTTGATATGACGATTCATAAGTGTGGCTGATCTCTTGTTAGTGGATGTTGTTTCTGGCTCCAGTGGTTGAAATGAATGCTTTAAATATCGGAACATCACTTGTGAGTCGTCCCACATTGAATTGATAGGGTATATAAGCCTAGTTTATAAGCCTAGTAGGCTACTCCTCCCATCACTAATTGGTTTTGAGATGGAACCTCTCTAAGGTGCACCTAGGCTCACTCTCTTATGGTACGCTTCACTGTGTGGGACCGCACCCCTAATTCCTTGATTATCAAAAATTTGACATGGGGTCTAGTTTGGGACCTACAATGATTTAAAAATGTACCGGCCTGATTGTAGGCTTGTGCTTATGATGATTAAATATACCCGTCCTGGTTGTAGGCTTGGGCAGATGAAGGACAAGTGAGGGGAGCGTGTTGGAATGTCACTTGTGAATCGTCCCACATTCAATTGGTAGGATAAATAAGTCTAGTTTATAAGTCTAGTGGGCTACTCCTCCCATAACCAATTGGTTTTGGGATGGAACCTCACTAAGATGCACCTAGACTCACCCTCTTATGGTGCGCTTCACTGTGTGGGACCGCAACCCTAATTCTCCGATTATCAAAAATTTTGACATGCAAGGAATAATTTTTTGGGAAGCTATTGTTTTACTCGGGTGATCGAAGATGAAAGGATGTGTTGTCGGTGCTTACTTGAGATAGAGAATGGTTGAATGTGTAGTTCTGAAGTTTACAGTATTGTTATGTGGAAAATGGTCCTGTGGTTGGCTTGATTGGTTCACACTCATTTATTTGAACTTTCTACAAACACACACACACTCACAAATGCACATATGTAAATACTTCAGTGGTTTGCTTAATGTCTTAGACCTGACTGTTTCAGGCGGCGACCCCTATGATGTTAGAGTTCATGCAGAAACTTAAGAAGGTAGCTTTTTCCTTTCATTTTTTATTTTTTTTAATGTCACGTGAAATTTTATTTGGGAGGAGCTTGTCTTTCGATCTTTGTTCCTTAAAAGTTTGTGGAAAAAGAAAACCAAAGAAACAAAATTGGTTTAAAGATTAAATGTTCTGTTTTTTTCAATTTGACAGGTAGTTACTGTTGGTGTGGTTGGAGGTTCTGATCTCGTTAAGATATCAGAGCAGCTTGGGAACACAGGTAAACCTTCAATTTGATCCTTATTCTAATGTTGGTTACTCATCTCAATTATTATTTCTCTCACCCGTATGTTTGACTTTCTATGATACTCTCTCTTATTGACCTATACAGTTACTACTGACTACGATTATGTGTTTGCTGAGAATGGCCTAGTGGCTTACAAGGGTGGAAGTTTAATTGGAACACAGGTAGTCCCTTGGACATGTTATAAACTTCAAGAACAGTGACAGTAGGAATTTTTAGTTTTGATATATTTTCATGCTAGTTATTTGACTATTTGATGTATATCTATGTGCAGAGCTTGAAATCATTTCTTGGAGAGGACAAGCTCAAGGTTAGAATTCGGTGCATTAGTTTCTGAAATTATTGCTTTTTGCTGATTAAAGATTTTTAAACACATTTCACCTCCATGAAGGGTGTATAGTAATGGATGGTTTGATCTGTATTTTTACAAAAGATCTGGTTTTATAAGAAATAAGATCTCTACAGAATAAGATTGGAGAACTTTTATTGTTTGATTTTCACGTATGCTGGTTTCGTGGATGGTGCAAACCAGCAACATCGATGTTAGAAACTATCACGACTCTTTTAATGCATTACATAGCAATCTTAATATTGTGATTGGTGGCCAGAATCATGTTTGATATACTGTGGATAATGATACAGGAGTTCATCAACTTCACTCTCCATTACATTGCTGACCTGGATATCCCTATTAAAAGGTGACGAGAACTTCAAACTCAAATAGCTTTTGGTCATTTTTTATGAGCATCTTGGATCAACTTTTATTTGCTTATTGTAGGGGAACGTTTATTGAATTTAGAAGTGGGATGCTTAATGTATCACCGATTGGAAGAAACTGCAGTCAGGGAGAACGTGATGAGTTTGAAAAGTATGATAAGGTATAAATTTTACGTGAAAATATACGTCGGAGAAGAGATCACATATTTTTGTTTATGCTCATTCACTAATCACAAATGCTTTTTTTCTATAAAATATCATCAGGTACACAACATTCGCCTCAAAATGGTGTCTGTACTCAGGGAGAAGTTTGCACATTTCAACCTAACATTTTCTATTGGGGGACAAATCAGTTTTGACGTAAGCAGTTGTTTATGTTCGCCAATTTTTTTCCAGTTATTGTAAAAAGCAAATATTTCAGCAAAATGTTTGGAGCAGGTTTTTCCTCAAGGCTGGGACAAAACATATTGTTTGAGATACTTGGATGACTTTCATGAAATTCACTTCTTTGGAGACAAGACGTACAAGGTGTGTTGAGCCCTCATTGTTATAGAACTACCTCTGGTTTGAATGCACACGAAATTTAATTTTGGAAATAAAAGCAACAGGGAATTTGAGGTTTGGTAATGTTACAAAGATACTCAATTGTTCCTTGATATTTGTTTGTATATTGCAAATTGCACCCTCAGTAGGTCAGTGTATTGACTTGGATAAACCTCACGGGCAATAATATTGGATGGAAAGACAATTCGACTTATTATGTAATTAGGCTAAACCTATAATTGTAGTGTTGTAATTATTTTTTTTTGTTGTTGTCTATGCTTCGGATAATACTTCAAGCATATAATTTGTTTTTTCCCATTCCTTTTTTTTTTTATTAAATACGTAAATAGGGAGGAAATGACTTCGAAATCTATGATTCAGAGAGAACCAAAGGCCACACTGGTAAGCTCATCTTTTCCTTCTTTGTAATTGTCATTTTTTGATAACTCATAAACGAGCAGCCAAAAGTTCTTGTCTTCTGCAAATGACAATTAGGTTCTAGTTCTGTTCTGCAAAAAGCCATTTTCAAACCGAAAATATGTTACGTTTAAATTAAAACTCGATAAAGTCTTGGAAAAGGGAAAAGAGATTGCTTGCAAGCAAAAGTTCCTTATGCGCATCTGTTTTGATGTGAGCTTATTATCCTGCTACTTGTTATCATTATTATTTTCTTGTGTTGTGATCTTATTATCTGCTGCGCGTAATCAGTTACCAGCCCTGAGGACACAGTAAACCAGTGTACGACTCTGTTCCTGAGCTAATAAGACAGACATTTCTGATTTCTCGTCCGTTTTCAGTGGTTCGTCTCTTGCCTTTCGTGAATCTAGACACAAAGAATAATAATCCATAAAGGAGTTGGTATACACTTTCTTTCTTTCTTTATTTTCCTTCTGCTGGAATCAAGATTGTATATTTTTTACCTTCTGTTGTAACCTGTTGTTGTAATATTGGTATTTCTAATCTATACTGATTTATAATTTGTAGTATAGCAGCATGTTTCATTTCCCAAGAGCAGTATTTTCATTATTATTATTATTATTATTATTATTATTATTATTATTATTATTATTATTATTATTATTATTATTATTATCATCATTATTATTATTGTTTTTATTTTAAAAAAAAAAAATTCTTCCCGTTTTAATATTGATGATTGATCCTAAACCAAAACAGCAGTTAGAGCTTGAATCTGATTCTCAAAGTTCTGCTATTTTTGCTTAATTATTCATGTTCTTTATTGTTACTCATTTGCCCTCAAATAAGAAAGACTGAAAGAATATAATTCAAAAAAATAAAAATAAAAATAAAACACATCTTATACATAAAAAAAATAAAAATTACAAAATCTGCAATTTATTATAGTATTTTAGGTGTCTGTAAGCTAACTTATTTGGTCAATGATATTCCAACAAAATGCATGCATACAATGTACAAAAGGGTTTTGAATAAATATTAAAAGTACAAAAACTTCTTGAAAATTTTTTTAAGAAAAAAAGGAAGAAGAAGAACCCGAAAATTATATGCTTCTGTCGAACATTTTTCTCTTCTAGGACTGCTCCTGTGGATTGTCGGGCTCATCTCCTGCATCCACCTTCTCCTCCACATCCGCCTCCCCCTTTGGCTCGGATTCCGAGTCGGCAGGCTCGGTGAGTCCCTTCTTGTGATTGGCTGCGTTGAGGACGTGTTGGTAATTTCCTTTCTCCATGAAGAGCTGCTGGAAGTGGACCTTACAGTATAGGATTCCATCAAGAGCAGCATAGGATGAGTGTGTGAGATGGCAGCCCCCATGGGCACACTTGAAGCATGACTTGTGGAATGACTCTCCCTCCATAATCACCTATTTCAAAAATGCCAAAAAAAAAAATCAAATATAAATTAAGGTAAAAAAAATAAAGAAACAAAAACAATAGTATTTGGGTAAATTAAATATAATTTTTTTATTTTCATTGTTGGTATACAATGTGGTGAAAAAGAATAATTTTTGCTCACCTTCTCAAGTGGGTACACAGTTTTGTTGCAAGCAGGGCATTTGTCTAGAGTGCCAGAGAACAAGGAGGAGAGCTTGCTAGGTGCCCTTGTCTACATACACCATTATATAAAAAAAAAAATAATAATAATAATAAAAAATAAAAATAATCTTTCTCATTATAGATTTCACCAAAATAAAGAAAAAAAATGCAATAATCTTGATCAAGCCATAAAACACAAGGAACTTACGAGCGAATTTTCCCTCTCTGGTTTTCCTGCTCGAATAGTTACAGAACCAATCGAACCATATGAGTAAGAATACATAAATCGAAGTAATCGATGAATAAAAGGAGATGTAGCGAATGCGAAAAGAAAAGGAGAAAGATAAATAAAAAATAATAATTATCACCATTTTGGAAATTCTTGCTGAAATTTCCAGACTCCTTGAAAAGCTGCTCAAAGTGAGGCTTGCAGTAGAGAACTCCATCCATGGAAGAGTAGTTGCTCATCTGCCAAAACACAACA